AAATGTCATCAATTGATCAATCAAACAAAAAAAGAAAAATTTTGACTTGGGGTGAGAAAAAACAACTTTGTGAATTTTGTGAAAGAAATCCATCATTCACATATAAGGAACTTGGTCGGAAATTTGAAGTTGCAGAAAATACAGTTTGTAACATTTTGAAGGATAAAAATAAATGGCTATCCACTAATCCTGATGATGCTAACAAGCAAAAATATAAAGCTCCAAAATATCCTGAGCTCGAAAGTTCATTGATGATATGGTTCAATCAAGCACTTTCAAATAAAAGGGTAATTACAGGTGATGTAATTCTTGCCAAAGCTAAGAGATTTGCAGAATTACTTGATATCAATGATTTTAAAGGCTCAGACGGTTGGGTCTCAAATTTTAAAAAAAGAAATGGTATAAAACAATATAATTTACATGGTGAAGCAAGTTCTGCGCCTTCTGAAGAAATCATTTTTGAAGAAAGAAGAAAATTGCAAGAAATATTAAGTGAATTTCCCCTAGAAGATGTCTATAATTGTGATGAAACTGGTAAAAAGTATTCTAATATAATTATAGTATTTATTAAATTTACTAAATACTTTATTTATTAGGCTTGTTCTGGGATTTGGAACCATCAAAAACGTTATCAACTGGACCTCTTCCTGGTACTAAAAAATCAAAAAAAAGAATAACCATTTTATTGACTATGAATGCAACAGGGACTGTTAAACTTCCACCTTTATTTATCCATAAGTATCAAACACCAAGAGACATGCTTGGTGTTGACAAGTCAAAGCTTCCAGTTGATTACTATTGGAATGCAAAAGCCTGGATGCAAGTCTCCATCTGGAATCAATATTTAAAAAAATTGAATCAGAAAATGGTTAAAGAAAACAAAAACATCTTACTATTGTTTGATAATGCACCAGTCCACATTCTTGATGAAAGTACTCTTTTAACGAATATTACACTTCATCATCTCCCTCCTAATACAACTACTCATCTACAACCTGCTGATGCGGGAATTATAAATTCTTTTAAAGTAAATATAATTTAAAAAAAAATTTTTTTTATTAGTTCAAATATTCACTTTATCATTTCTTCAGGTCCATTATAGAAAATTGCTTGTTATGAACAGGATTGATGCTTATGACTTACATCAAAGCCTTAATACTCCCATTGAACAACTTAAAATTTCTGATGCAATTACACTCTGTGCTAAAGCTTGGAAAAATGTGACACCCGAGACTATTAGAAACTGTTGGCTGAAGTCAGGAATAATACCTAATTTAGATGATGCCATGGAAATAGAAACCATTCAAGAATATGATGAGCTTCAAAATCTAATTAATCGATTAGGGAGTGTTGAAGCCTCTGATAAATTGAGCGCAGAGAATTTTATTAGAATTGAAGAAGAAATTCAAGAGTTTGGTGTTGAAAATACCGATGAAGAAATTATTAGTTATGTAAAACCAACTGCTGAATCTGAACCAGAAGATGAATTAGTAGCTGTTGAACAAAAAATTACTACAGAAGATGCATTAAAATCTTTAGACACCATCCTTTCTTATATTCAAAATCCACCTGAAAACCTTACTTTTGAATTAAAACACATTAAATCGATAAAATCAGTTAAAAGTCATATATCCAAATATTCTCTTGCTTCTAAAAAACAAAGCAAATTGGATCGTTGGTTTACTACTAAAAATTAATGAATTTTATTATTTTTTTTTTGTGTATCAATATTAATATATGTATTTGTATATAATATCAAAAAAATAAAAATTTGCCGATCTTTTTATATAATGAATCACACTATATAGTGAAGTTTTTTGCCAAAACAAACTCTTCCTTATATCGAGCGCCAACTGTAGCTATTTAATTATAAGCAACACAAACAAAACAGGATGAGCAGACAAATAATTAGATCATTTGGGATTTTATAGATAACTTTAATATTTGCATTTTAATTACTTAATTTCTACCTGGTAAGCCCAAATAAATGGGATTAATCACCTCCCATGCAACCCTGCCATTTTTCGTGATATTACTCATTAGTTATTTTTATATTATAATAAAGATACATATATGATGTTTTTTTAAAAAAATAATTCCATGTGCTTTCTCGCTTGATTTAATGTAATTATCAATATTCATACTAAGATCTCTTTCTTTGGGAAGGTGTCTGATTTCTTTGAATTCGCATGATTTTTGTTGCATTGGATAAGACTCACTTATTTCTGGAAAAATCTTGACATCCTTTTCCAGGTATATAAGCGTACAATTATCTCCAATTAATTCCTTGGCCGTAATTTCTTCAAAGCTATTTCTTAATTATTAGAAAAGTCCGACCAAGCATGCTAGACATTTCAGTGATGACAAATGACTTAAATGACGAGGTTATTTGATGTTATTTGATGGTCATTAATGTTAAGTTCATCCGCCATTTACCAATTTATTCATTTATTTTGTTTAAAAAAAAAAGTTTATATGAAATATGCATAGAAAAATATTTCAAACAAAAAGGTTCTTTATACTAAATAATATACGTACCCGTAAAAGCAGATTGCTTTGTCATGGACATTTTATAAAATGTGTAAATTTTGTTCAAAAAAGAAAAAATAATAAATATAAATTTTTTTTTCAAATAATATACAGTGTATATATATATATATATCTTACATTATAACATTTAGAAACTTTATTATCAGAAACTGAAGAGTCGCCTTATGTAAAATTATTAACAGCCACTTCTAATAAACAACCTTTGATTGAATATTCTCTTTTTAAAAAACCTTTATCAAAAAAATAAAAATACTTTATATTCGAATTTTATAAGAATGTTAGCTTCAAATGGATTGTCATCCCACTCTTAGAAAGCCTAGAACAAAGGATGTATTCTCCAGTTATAAAATTATCTGGTCGACAAGAAATGAGCAATCGGATTTTATCACAATCAAAAAATAGATAAAATTCTGAAAATTAATTAGTAATATATAGTAAATTGTGGGGGATCATGGTTACAATTGACCAACTTCCAAATTTTTCCTACCAGCACACATGATAAATATTACACAGAATATTAAATAGTATGATGCAAAAAATCTCAACCATTATTTTGACATATTTTTTATTATTGTTTTCTTTACAAGTTTTTGACTTTGATACTTAGCAACCCTGGATTTCAGAAGACGTGGCGCAGTATGCACTTCTATCATGGATCATGAATTAATTATTTTGTTTGAGGATCTGTTAGGGAATACACTGCTGCTAAGTTTATATACCAATAAAATTTAATTTCAAAATTGCATAAAAATATTAATTTAATGCTTTTATTAAGAAATCATGCAAGCAAAAGATGGTTTTTTGTCGTTCTGTATGGCAAGCACACCAATTTAATTTAATTGTCGATGAAATTTCAAAGAATTAGATGTTTATAAAAAAAAGAGCTGTTAAATTGTTAGCGTTACTCATAGATCACCTTTATTCGCTGGATTATTAAGAAATGAGCAAATGTCAGTCTGTGGAAAAACAATTTCTTTAATTACACCTAGTGAAACTCGCTGGAATAGCCATTATTTTTTGTTTCATGGTCACTTGGGGTATGATTTTTGAATTTATTCAAAATGGAAAAATGAATTTTTGGTTTAGACATTATTGTTTGTAAAATATGCTCCCAGAAATCTTTGGAACTCTTCTATATCTTGAAGTGGTTAAAGTAGACAAAGATTTCTACCAACTTCTGTAGACCAAGAATAACATCTTCCTCCCAGAAATAATCTCTATAATAAATGAACAAAACATTTATATTATCCTTCCTCTATGTACTGCTTTAAATAAACCGCAAAAAGATATGGCATGACTTTATGAAGTAGTCAGTCATTGTTTTTGGATGGATTTTCAATGTATTTTTTAAAGTGAAAACTTTCCTAATCAAACGATCAACCGTCTTGTTTACATTTATCTTTGGTCCTTCATTCACAATATAGAACTTTACTTTTTAAAAATAAATACAACCAATTCTTTCATGTACGTATTTTGGTCGGTAGATTGATTATTTTTACCAGGTTTAGTTTGGTGCGTCATCAATCAGAATTTTGCGTGAACATTTATTATATCAAAAGTAAGTTTATTTAAAACTTGATTGTGAAGCAGTTGACTTTTGGGATTTAGTAAAAGGTGAGGTACCTGACTTGTCGAGATTGGCTCTCATTTGCATGGAATTTGTATATATTCCGCATCTGTTGAAAGACTTTAAACCAATATATGTTTTATACATTCGAAAAAAGAATATCTTTATGTATGTAAAAAAATATTAAAACTTGGTTTTCAATTTATTATAAAAATGATTAATTAATAAAAATGAAAATCTATTATTAAAAAACATAAAAAGTACTTTAATATTTGAAAGAAAAACAGTTGGAAATTAAAAAAATTAAGAAAAACTTTATAAAAGTAATCATATTGCATTTCCTATTCAAAAGAATTTGTTGATAATGATAATGATAATGAACTGCTTGACACGAATGAAGTAATAACTGTGAAACATTGGCCTCTTTTAAAAAGCAAAGGAGGGTTCAGGTGTCTTTGAAGAAGAAACTGATGATTCTATTAACAGAACCGAACATTGAATAGAATTGGATGGATGTAATTGTTGGATGTAATGAAGATATTTCGGATCCTTTAGGGATTTATAGCACTATACATTCCGCTGATGATCCATTTGCCGAATATTATTTTAATGATAGTTTAGAGTTAGCTGATGAAGGTAAATTCATTCGTATAATAATAGCTAAATTTGATTAAATGTAATAAAATTTTGAATTTTTTAATTAAACAATATGATTGGTTTTGCAAATGACCGCGTCATTTAGTCATTTGTTGTCATGGCCAATTACATATCAGAAATTTTACCACTTGGTATCTTGATTCCACAATCTGGCTGTCATAGGCCTGTGATATCGACCTTGGTTATTCTTTCCAGTCCTTTTCTTACGGAGCTTTATTCCAAGCACATATCACACACAAACTTCCTGCATCCAAAGTTGGCACTTGGTGATACAGTCTTGAGTTGATCGACAATTACCCATTTCACATATTACTCGAGCGTGTGCGGATACCCTAATATGAATATATTAATGTTAGAAAATCCCACTCAAAACAAATATGTTAATAACTCAAAGCATATTTGCGTCACTAGTTCCAGGATGTTGGACACTAGGTTTTCGAACATGAATTATATTTGGATAAATAGCAACATTTAGTACAATTAATTCTTTAACTCCGGGTGGGTTAAAATGAACTAAAGGAAGGATATGAATGTTAGAAAATCGATTATATACAAAGGATCAAGAAAACCGAAAGAAATTTTCTTACATAGTTGACCCACTACACCTGTTGAAGGGTCATAAATCATATTACCGTTGGGAAACTTGAGATAATCCATCAGTAGTGTAATGACAAATTTATGCTCGTGTTTGGACATTTCAACAACGAATATGTCACCGTTGCTTTTTCGTTGAAACTTGTACCCAGAAGACTCTTGAGTTCAAGGAAAGCGTTGTATATATCTTTTTACCGATATCTTTGAGACAATCTGAAAAAAGAAAACTGCAATCCATAAATGTTAACACCGGGCGAATATCAATATACCCACTGTCCTCTACTGGAGGCTCTTTTGGTAATTTTGGTAATTGGAATTGTTCTTGGAACTTTCTCATAGGAATTAATAAATTTGTTATTATTATTGACGAAACATTTGAAAAAGTAAAATCGGGCTCTGGTCTCTTTGAATCTCGGACAAAAGAGAATTATTTTTCAGGTTGTCGTGCCATAACATTCCATGCACGTATTAGTATGTCAATTAATTACATGATATAATACAAGATCGCACGTAAATATTTAATAAACGTCGAGTTTCATGGGAGACGAAGACTCGAAAATTCAAAGCGGCTAATAGTGGTCAGATTCGAGGCCTGATTATTACCATGTGATTTGGCTGAATATGGTAAAAAACTATCAATTGTTTTGTTATTAATAATAATTTTATTGTCGTTATCATTATCATTCCCACTTTTTTCTTTAGTTTTTAAGCTCAACCCAAGTATAGATTGCTTCTATTGTTTTAGAATCAGATTTTGTTGTAAAATTTTTATCCGATTACTTTTTCTTTTTGAGGTTACTTATGACATCGTTAATCATATCAGATTTAATAAGATCATCTTCGATCGAGAAGCTTCGTACAAGTGGGCTATTTTTTAATAATTTCATTCTTGATATTGGAAAGTAGGCATGGTAAAAGGATTGGATTGTAAGGCAGATTAATGGCAAATATATACAGTATATATTAAAAAATCATTAACATAAATGGTGTTAATGATTGGCTAAACTCCATAGACAAAAACTTTGGTCATTAATTGCACATAATGAAAATATAACAGATGTCATTTCATAGCTTAGGTTCTCAATAATTGGCATGTAAAATTCCAAGTCTACGAAAATGATACCCATATCTTCAAAGATTATTTTTCTTCAAGAAAGCATATTTAAATTTGATTGGTATTTTAAAAAAAAAATTTTTCACAAAAAGCAAAAAGTGTAAATTATATATTGGTTTAGTGTTACGGGAAGGAAGTAACGAAAAGAAGCATATCTTAAATTATAGGAAATGATTTAAGCATGTTTTGTAGAAATTAAGCATCTGAAATTTTTGTAGGGAGGGATATGGTCTTTGGCAATTTTTGTCATGGTATCGGATATTTTATGAATTAAAATATTTGGTAAAATTACATATGTATGGTAGGTAATTAATTGTTCCATAAAATATAATTTTTTACATGTTGAATCTCTCTCTTTTTCTTCGCTGTTTTATATCATTTTCAATGATTAATTGATAAATGATTTTTACATTAGAAGGAATGTCTATAGTGTTGTTCTTTTTACGTTTTAAATGAAAAAAAATTAGCATATAGATTTCTTTAAAGAGAAGAAACATTATTTGGTGATTGTTTTTTTTTTTTTTTCATTGGCGTGATAAAAATAAAAACAACTTGTATTGAATTAGATTTGATTGATTTAGTAATTAGTATTCGAAATAATTAATCAGACGACTTTATTCATGTGAGTTTAAAATCCGGTTAAAGTTTTTTTATTAATAGCTGATTATTTGGTATTATTAATAGAGCATTAGTATATATTAATATTTGAAAAAATTATTCCGGTAGCGTAGAAATTTTGTCGATCTCTAAACTTTAAATAAATATTACGATAATGATAAACAAAGATTATTCTTTGGAAGAAGATCGATCAGTCTAATTTTTTCCAAGCCTAAAAATTTTCCAAAAATCACATAACATCTGACAATATATATACAATTCACACATTCTATTGTGAACTTTTCATATATGTTTTTTTGTTCTACAGAGAAGTTAATGATAAAAACATTGAATCTGGTATTTTTATCATTTATTGATTATCAATAGAATTTTGCACAATCGATTAACATCCCCTACTTCTTCTTCTTCTTCTTCTTCTTCTTCTAATAATAATAATAATAATAATAAATCATTAATTCCTTTTTATTCTTGAGGAAAAACAAATCGGATCAAATAGAATAATAATATACAAAAAATTCGTCCAAAATGTCTTTGATAGTATTAATTTCTCAACACATATATATTTACCATGCCTGAAACTTTGAAATACGAGTATACATAATAACTCGATATCTCCTGATTCATCCGTCCCTTCAGATTCTAATAATAATTCATTATTAGGTTTTGTTATTTCTATATTATTATTATTTTCAGTCACTGTGTGATTCATGATCTGAAGCTTGCTATCTAACTATATTCAATATAAAACCATTCAAATTAATCATCACAAACAAGTAGAAAATATACACATTTAAATAATTCTTTATATCCTCCATCTTGAATAACCATCTTCATGACATTTAACATGTTATTATTATTTTATTATCAATCAACAATGATTGTAATTAGTTACGCTAAAGAATCATTGCTCAAGCTTACTGCATTGAATTATTGAGACTTGTTTCCTAGCTTTAGATACATCAAAAGGCGAGCAACAAATGCTGAAACTAGTACTAAAGTAACTGTGCTGATAGATTTCCTAGCTGTGTGCGGAAAGGAGAATCATATGAATATTGGACTTTATGCTTTATCTTATTTCTTGTCTCGATAAGTCAGTCATGTCGGGTTGGACTCGGTGACCGACTTATCAAGAGAACCGAGTTATCGAATTTCACATTATTTTTTATTTAATCTCAAACATTAAAAGATTGCGAGATCGAACATAATAAAATTTAATAGGAATACAAATGTATTTCTTCAAAAGATGATATAAGTGATGATATAAAGGTGAGATAAAAAAATATAGATTGTTGATTGCAATTAGACAAGAACTCTCTCTAAATTATTGAATGATACAATCAATGATGAAATAATAAAATATTAATGCATTATTCATGATAAATCATCAAACGGTTAAAGTAAAAAAAGTTCTCTTTTTAAAATTACTTTACAAGAAAAAATTGATGTGTGATTATGCATTCTGATGGAGGTAGTAATAAAATATAAATGTAGTTTTACAAGCGAGAATGCTCTCTTCCTACTAAATTATAAAAAATGAACAATAAAGATGGTCTTTTTACATATCATTTTGGTAATGACGAATAAATTTATTAGTCTTTTTAGCACACGTTTTAAGAGCTTATACAGCAGAATTATCTCATTACCAAGATCAAGTTCCAGAATTTATTATTCGTTTTCTTCAATTATATCCATTAAATATTATATTGAAACTATTGTTATAAAAGGAATGAGAAGGTGATATTTTTGAGAAAATTTAAAAGATTAAATTGTCAGAAGGAAATAACTGCACCTAAAATCAATTATTTTGTCGCTACTAAAAATTTTGTCTTTGGATCACATGATTGACACTATGAATAATCAGTATTATACCTATTGCAAATCGGACATTCCCCATATCCTTCTTTTCAAATATATGAACCTTCATAATCTTGAAGACTCCCATTTTCCATGTATTTCGTTACAAAGATATATTCTTTTTGTAGCTAGATCTTGTGTTAATCCATAAATTTTATTTATGATTTACCACAAAATGTAACATAAAAATCTGAAAATAAACAAAAAAATAAAATGATTTACCTCATTAAGAAATTCAAAATCAAAAACAATTATTGATTTAGATAATCGCTTTTTGAGTTCTGGTGGTTACAAGGAATTCATCAAATGGAGGAAAATTTAGCTGGTGAAGCTATACCACTTTTCCAAAAGATTTACTAATTTTGGCCTTTGATAATGAGCAAAAGGGGGCGAAGAGCTAATTATATTGTAAGTATAATATAATGGGTTTTCATACAGTCACTAGTTTTATTGCATTTAATTTTGATCCCATTGATCAAACACAAACAATTCAGGATCCCTGGTTAAATCAAAAATCAAATTTATTACAGATTGAAGATTTTTTTTTGATATCACGCCAAAATGCAACAATTACTTGATCAACAACTTTATGACTATCTTTCTATCATATTAAATGAAGCATGTGGGGAAAATGTGGTAAAAAAGAGATAGAAAATTCACGATGTAAATGTCCTGATTGTAATGAAAGTTGACCAATATTTCTGAAATTCAACAAGAAGATTCCAACCAATCAAACCTAGAGACAACAAATACCACGAAACCTTTACATATCAAATTCTATCAAAATTCTACCAACATTTCTGATGCACCACCTATAAATCCAATTAGTACAACTCAAAAATCATTCCCTCAAGATGGTGTTAAGATTCCTGACATTCTCCTCCAGATCCTTTACCATTAAACCCTAACTCTATTGAAAATGTTTGTAAAGTGCTAGATCACATTCAAGAAATTAGTGGAATCAACAAAGGTGAAAGAAATGGATTCCAG